ATAAAAAATTTATATCTTTATGTTTGAAGCCTGAAATGTGGCAAAAGGTTGAAAAGTTCAAGGGGGCCGAATACTTTCGCAAGGCACTGTAGTCTGATTTTTTCACACTCCTTTAATTTGTAACACCTTGCATCCCAGCTCCCTAACAGAAGGTAGGGGAGTAAAAAGGGATATGAGCTTCCAAAAAACAGCTACAATTTCTAAAAGCCAGACACCAAATTGCTTCTCTCCCCTTATTATTAAAGAACAGGATGTTATGATCCTGTTTAGTTTAAACCTGCAAGAAGGCTGCTTGTCCTAATCTAGTTTCTCCAGCTACCTTTAAGTCCTCTGCTGCTAAGCTTCAGCTGTTTACAGACATTCTGTATTTAACTAGTCATTGGATCACTGTAGGTCCCTGCATGATTCAAATCCTCTGCTATCATCCCTGTTGCCAAGATGACCAAACACTAGGTGCACTTTATTTCTATGTTTTTACATATACAACATATAATTTTCATTCATATAAACACAATAAAAAACAAGCACCTAAAAAAATTGAAATAGTCAAGCTACTATATCCCCCACCAAAAAAAAATCTAATGGGGTGGAGTCTGTTACCAACCTCAGAGCCCCCAACCCCCCTGCGACCCAAACACAAGACTTTCTTTCCCATCAGCCTCTCAGGGCCTCTGCCCAGTGACACCCCCTTACATTTACTTCTTGTCAGGTATGAGTGCCTGTTACTCCAATACCTTAAAGCCATTTGCTTTTATTATGTCCTGCAACAGCTGGAATCTCCAGTCATATGTGAGACTCCTTTTTCTTGATTTTAGTTCTGTATTCAACAATATCATGCTGAATCTGCGTTCGAAGCTCACTGCCCTCGTCACTGACATTGCAAGGCTTTGGTTGATTAAACAGGCTCACCCTTCTCACTGAAATGGTAAGTGCTCAGTGCTATTTTTATTATATGTGTGTGTGAGTGTGTGCGCGCATGCGTTGAGGTTTTCTGTGGTTCCTATGAGAAAATGACTTGTACAGTAGGTGGTACTTGGATGCTTTGGTTTCATCAGGGGTGGTACTGTACGTGGTCCAAAAAAATTGAGAACCACTGGTTCTCAATTTTAGCCATGAATAAGAAAATTCCTTTAATTTATGATTTTAAATAGACTTTGTACTCCTGAGAAATTAGAGGATGAATTTCTACAGTAAAGGTCTATGTCTTAAATGCAAAACAGATAAAGGATCATGAATTCACATTTTTGGGGAATGCCAGCTTATTCCAGTCTTTTCAGATGAGTGCAATACAGAAAACACTTAAACATCTGGATATATCAATACATTACCATAACCTGTTCAGCACAAGAACAGGTAATGACTTTTTGACTTTTTGCATGGTCTTTAAAAGGGCTGTTCTGCACAAATAAGTGGGCAATACAGTGCCGTCCCACATAGAATGGGTAAATGAAGCTGTTGTACAGATTCAATATGAAAAGATTGCTTACAGTCTGGAAGGAGAAATTTAAACAGGTGAAGGGCCCTCTCGAGACATATCATATCATGGCACCAAGACAGAAAGTTGTAAATATTGTGTTGTGACAAGGCGAGTGGAAGTAAATAAATGGGTTTATAAAGGATGGGAATGAGCCAGCAGCCATATCACCCTGCAGCTCACAAATGGCAACCCACTGAAGTTAAGCAGGTGTGAGCCTTGTCAGGACCTGGATGGGAGACCTTTTGGGAAAAACTAAGGTTGCTGCTGCCAGCAGGGGGCGCTCACCCTGCTATCCAGGTGGGTCATAATGCCCCAGTATAGTGACGGGAACACTATACCTTAAATAAGCGCCGTCCTTCAGATGAGATGTAAAACCGAGGTACTGACTCTCTGTGGTCATTAAAAATTCCAGGGCGTTTCTCAAAAAGGGTAGGGGTGTAACCCCGGCGTCCTGGACAAATTTCCCATGCCTTCTTATAATCCCCCTCTATGAATTGGCTACATTACTTTGTTCTCCTTCCCCCCCGCCCCCCACTCCGACGGCAGGTGGAGCGACGCGCCGGTTGGAGTATTTCTCGGTCGCAGTTAATGGCAACGTCAGCTCAAAGATTTGGTTCAAACCACCAAATGGAGACTGGTGTGGACCCTGCTGATGCGGGATTAACGGTAGGAAAGAGATAAAGGTTAGGAATGAAAAGAGATATTTATAAAGGAAATAAAAAGAAGGGGGGATGGATGAGGGGGAATAATGAAATCACCCCAGATATTGTACTTCTGTTTCAATGTAGCTGGATACAGCCACGGGTGTGATTAGACAGAACCCAAAATAACAATAATAATAACCACTTTATTAACCTTATACAATTTCTTGTATTTGGAATTTGTCTTTTCGCATACCCCAGCTTGCTCTCCATGAGACACACAAACAGGGAGAGAAGCTTGGGGTCAGAGTGCAGGGTCAACCATTGTACAGTGCCCTGGGGTGAAGGGCCTTGCTCAGGGGCCCAACAGAGTAGGATTCCTCTGCCAGCCACAGGATTTGAACCAGCAACCTTCTAGCCACAGGGGCAGATCCTGAGCCACAGAGCCACCACTCCACCCCAAACGTACAGAGGTAAAGTGAAAAGATAAGTGAGTGATAATAGAATAATTGATTACTAGCCACCATGGCTTAAATAGCCCTGGCCAGTCAGTAATGAAGGAAAAAAGAATTAAACGTGAGAGTCGGCGGAGAAGCTGGCTTCTGCATCACAGGTGAAAAAGAGAGAGCGGCTGGCATGGCAGAGCACCAGCGTTCAGTAAAATAGTGGAGTGTGGATTCTTACGGGCAAGCTCCTAGAGAAAGGAGATTGCACAGACTGACAAATAGCCCATCAGCACAGCCTGGGGTACAGACAAGTACTGGAATCTGGCCAACAGACATTAATAATGGCCTGCCAGTCAGCAAGACAAGAGAAAAGGCCACGATGAGATGGTCTACAGAGATGCTGGGTCACTGTGTCCCAGGCTGGGATGAGAAAGCTGGCAGGGCTAAGCGCCAGCCTTCAGTGAAACTATCCACCAGATAAACTGACCACCGACCAAGCCGAAGTCAAGGAGGCTGGATGGTCAGGGTGTCGCTCTCTCTCAGCTTCATAGCAGGTTCCTGTGGCGAGGCTCCCTAGGAACAATAATAGTCTGGCAGACAGGCCACCAGATTTCCTTTAAAAATTTCCTTCAGGGCTACGCTACCTGTCAATCGAAACAAAAACCATCCAGCACGTGGACAACTTCCCCATGACTGTCACCCTGCTTGTACGTGTAACATACTTAGCAATAAAGTGATTCTGATATGACTCCATTTCAGAACTGGACTGGGAACTATAAATGCAAACTCAATCCTGTTCCTGGTAGGTCAGAAGCCAACCAGACAAAAGCTGCACACACAAGAAATGTCCACATACAACCTATTTGTCAGGACATTCTAAGAAAAGGTATGGTAGAGGGCCACCATTGTTCTCTATTTCTCTTTTAGAAGAAATCAAGAAATTCACTTGCAGCAAGAAATTCTAAAATAAGACCACTTTATTAGCCATATACAATTTCTTGCACTAGGAATTTGTCTTTTCACATAACCCAGCTTGCTCTTAATGAGACACACAGACAGGGAGAGAAGCTTAGGGTCAGAGCACAGGGTCAGCCATTTATACAGCACCCCTGGAGCAGTTGGGGTTAAGGGCCTTGCTCAGGGGCCCCAACAGAGTACAATTCCTCTGCCAGCTGCAGGTTTTAAACCAGCAACCCTCCAGCCACAAGCAAAGATCCATAGACACAGAGAATTAAATTCTGCAGGTTAATTTAACAGCTGTGCAACAGAATAGAGATAAGAACTTAGGAATAGGAGGCAGCTCTGAAAACACAAGAGCAAAGAGACCAACTAAGTCCAGAGATGACGGCCCATTAAATTGATAATCTTCATAAGCAGCTCAGACTGCAGATTTGGAAGGGCTGTCTTTTTGCAATGTTGAGCAGATGGTAATCTCAACTACAGAAGTTCTCAAACTTTATCTCATGCCCTTCCCTCTGTGAGCTAAATGTTGTGTCTAGCTGGTGTGCTGAGCCCTGAAAATTTTCTAGAAAGGTGTGGGGCACATGGACAAATGCTATACAGTGAACTAAGAGGTATCGCTTGTGTGCTGTGCTCATAGGATTGAGTAGACAGATGTTGGGGATGACGTGGACATACGTACTGTAGCTGTTTCCAACATCTGAGACATGAGAAGGTGGAATTCAATAAGCATCCTAGATTCTGTTATAGTGTCTCTACATTAACCAGAACTCACACCTTTGCCCTAACAACAGAATTACAACAAAATGTTTAATTTATCATATGGTGTTTTTATGATGTTATGTTTCTCTTTTATCATTTTATCGTTTCAAAATTTCTTTTCTCCTCTGAGCACTGCTACTCTATTGCATAGTGTGGGGCTGTCAATTCAGCGCAGCCTTCAAGGGATTACATGTAAAGGATGATTTAGTATTCACAAAACTCTTTTCATTAGAGTGAATCCCAAATGGGTTGTATTTAACATACCTGTATAGGTGTTTAACACCGGTTTAATGAGTGTTCTTAGTTTGAGGAACAACTGCAAATAAAATATACTGAGTTCTGAGATAGGTGTTAAATATTTACTGCATGACTATATTAATTATGACCTTGATAGCTGTAGTAGATAAAATAGATAATATTAAGTTATAATATATGTATATGATAATATGTATTAACTACCAGTAAAGTACTTGCAGTGCCAGTGTATTGTTATATTTTATCTATTATGTTGCTTATCATGCAATTAAATATAGTTTTCTCTAATATTAAACAAGAGAAATGCATATGTGAGAATTTAGCTTTTCTCTTCACCAGATTCAGACTATTGCTGTGTATGCAACCAAAAAAAATTTGTGGTCCAATGTTCATCCTGTCAATTGTGGTCACATAATGTGTGTGTCTTCAAAGGAAACATCTGCTTCCTTTATCAGATTTAATAAAATATTAAAAATCATGTTTTTCTGACTTTGAGTATAGACATTTTAGGAAACCAAAGTATTAAAGATTTCAAATGGGTAAGGCAGGATTAGTGTGCAACACACTCTGACTGCAAATCAAATATGGAATAAACCTTTACATGTTCATATGTACAATATGTTGTGTATATGCATTTGCATACGTATATACTGTAGCACTTGGAACCTAAATTATTAAACTGAAAACTCTGCTATTTTTTAACATCACATTAATCATGGGTGGGATATACTTGCACACAAAGGAGGATCCATACTGTATGCCTATTGCAAGACTATCATAATTCCTGCATGCACAAAACATGTTACAAAAACTAGCTGAGTGTTTGAAGGATGGCTCAGTGTTGTACAAAGAAATTTATGGTAGGTTTTTCATGGAGAGAGTGAAGGGGCTTACATATGCATTGTACAGATGAGAAGTGGACCAGAGCCTCATGCCATGACAGCAATGAATATCTTGAGAGAAGGTTTGACATTTACAGAGTGAATGGCTAGACAGGAATTCTCCATATACAGTATGTGCATATATGGAGCTGCAGCAGTAGCCTCACAGGTGCAGGAGTACACCTTCCTCTTGATTATTGAATGCCTCTGTTAACCATAACATAATACAGTCATTGCTGAGTCCAGAAAGTTACAGCCTGTGTGTTGAAGACTTAAACCTAACCACTAAAAGGATGCTTTGAGATTTTTTTTTAAATATTCTTAAAAGTTGACATTTATAGTCCCCAAATCACTAGGTTTTTGATGCAGTCTTTGTTTTGTAATGTTTGCCTGTGCACATTTTCACCTTCAGGCCTTCATAAAAATGATCACCTTCACAACACAAAAGTACTGCTTCAGTGCCAATTCAAACGAAACAAATCAGAAGGTCGGCAAGCATTTGT